ACCAGACCGCTGATACAGCTTTCGCCAGTAACAGATCTGGGGCATTTGTGATGTGATTTGTTCGGCCAGTTTGGAGGACCAGGGCACATGTGGATGCACGCGGATTTTGACGACGCGGGTAGCAGAGCACGCTTCCTTGTCACGGGAACCAGGCCGATCGCCTCCCTAAGCAGGGACGGACCCCTTCTACCTTGCCCTGTATGCCTGCTGCTCCTCATCCTTTCTTCAAGTTCCATTTTGACCCAATTCGAGATCGATTACTGCCAGACGTATCCAATTCGATTCCGATGCTCCAGCGATCCGATGCGGCCGGATGGTTTCATGGTGCTGTTGTGCATCTTGACGCAGCCGATCCGATTCGATTCCGACTCTGTACCGATGCGGCCCGATCCGACGCACGCTCCGATCCGATCCGCCGCCCTCCTCTCGTTCCACCCCGGGCTCCAAATTGGCTGCTCCCTCTGCCCTCCCCGTTCCGCCGGCATCATAGCCATGATCACCGACATCGTTGTAACCGTCGCCGTCATGATCATGATTCTCATCTGATCAATCATCACCCTTATCCCCTGCATCTCCCCCACCATCATCATCATCATCATCATCATCATCATCATCATCATCATCAGCATCACCATCATCATCATCATCATCGTCGTCGTCGTCATCATCATCGTCATCATCATCAACATCATCATCGTCATCATCATCATCAGCATCATCATCATCATTCAGCGCGCACGGGGGAGGGGGAGTAGGAGGGAGGAGAAATGAGGAAGAGAACGAGGAACGATGAGGAGGGAGGAATGCGGACAAGCGAGGTGCGCTCGTTGCGTATCCGACATTTGCTCCTTTCATGCCATTTCTCTCATCATTCTCCCCTCTCCCCTCGCCCTCAATCCCTCGTCCTCCTCGCTCCGCATCCTCGCTCCTCCTCATCCCTCTCCTTCTCCTCCTCCTCCACCTCCTCCTCCTCCTCCTCCTCCTCCCCACTTCCTCCGCATCCCTCCTCCTCCTCACCCCCCTTCCTCCTCCTTCCGCCTCCTCGTCCTCCATTGCTCCCTCCCTCCCTCCCACCTCCTTGCTCGGCCCCGTCTTCCCTCCTGCTCCTTCCTCCTCCTCCTCCTCCTCCTCCTCCTCCTCCTCCTCCTCCTTCTCCTTCTCCTCACACACATATATATACATATTGTTTGTTTTCTGTTTCTCTCCTCTCTCTCTCTCTCTTTGTCTCCCTGGTCGCCATATGCAAATACTGCCCCGGCATGTGCTCGGCATTTGTTGGGCCAGGAAGACACGGCCAAAAACATGTCCTCAGCACGTATATGATGGGCACCTTCTTGGGCACATGGCGGCGCAGTATTTGCACAGTTCCAGGTGGTCGGGACAGGGACAGAGAGACAGAGAGTCAGGGAGGAGGAGGAGGAGGAGGAGGGGGAGGGGGAGGAGGAGGAGAGCGAGGGAGGAGGAGGAGGAGGAGGAGGACGGAGGAGGAGGAGGGGGGGAGGAGGAATGAGGGACGAGGAGGAGGAGGGGGAAAGGCGGAGGCGGAAGGGAGGGAGGAGGAGGAGGAGGAGGAGGAGGAGGAGGAGGAGGAGGAGGAGGAGCGAGAGGAGGAGGCGGAGGAGGGAGGAGGAGGAGGGGGAGGAGGAGGATGGAGGAGGAGGGAGGAGGAGGAGGAGGAGGAGGATGAGGAGCAGGAGGAGGAGGAGGAGTGGAGGAGGAGGAAGGAGGAGGGAGGAGGAGGAGGAGGAGCAGGAGGAAAGAGGAGGACCAGGAAGGAGGAGGAGGAGGAGGAGGAGGAGCAAGGAGGAGGAGGAGGGAGGAGGAGGAGACGGAGGAGGACGGGCGATCGGAGGGCTAGGAGACGATGGAGACGGAGGTCGGTGGACGGAGTGACGCCGTGGCAGGGACGAGGACGGCAGGGTTGAGGAGTGGGAGACGGAGAGAGGAGGAGGAGGAGGAGGAGGAGGAGGAGGAGGAGGAGGAGGAGGAGGAGAGGAGGAGGAGGAGGCGGAGGATGTCAGGGAGGAGGAGGACGAGGAAGGAGTAAGGGAGGAGGAGGAGGAGGAGGGAGGAGGAGGAAGGAGGAGGAGGCAGGAGGAGGAGGAGGAGGGAGTCAGGAGGAGGAGGATGGAGAGGAGGAGGCGGAGGATGGAGGAGGAGAGGGAGGAGGAGGAGGATGGAGGAGGAGAGGAGGAGGAGAGGAGGGAGGAGGAGCAGGAGGAAAAGCGGAGGAGGAGGAGGAGGAGGAGGAGGAAGAGGAGGAGGAGGAGGACGGAGGAGGACGGAGGTTCGGAGGGCTGGGACGGAGGTCGGTGGACGGATTAGGGCGGAGGGAGCAGGGAGGAGGACGGAGGGATGAGGACGGAGGACGGAGGAGGAGGAGGAAGAGGGGAGGAGGAGGAGGCAGGAGCAGGAGAGGAGGACGGAGGATGACGGAGGTTCGGAGGAGGAGGTTCGGAGGACGGAAGTCGGAGGACGGAGGACGGAGGGCGCAGGGAGAAGGACGGAGGGTTGAGGACGGAGGACGGAGGAGGAGGAGGAGGAGGAGGAGGAGGAGGAGGAGGAGGAGGAGGAGGAAGAGGAGGAGGGAGGAGGAGTATCAGGCGAGGAGCCGGAGGAGGACCAGGAGAGGAGGAGGACGTGCAGGGAGGAGGAGGAGGAGGAGGAGGAGGAGGAGGAGGAGGAGGAAAGAGGAGGAGGAGGAGGAGGAGGACGGAGGAGGACGGAGGTTCGGAGGACTGGAGACGGAGGTCGGAGGACGGAGGGTGCAGGCAGGAGGACGGAGGGTTGAGGACGGAGGACGGAGGAAGGAAGATGCGGAGGAGGCGTAGGAGGCGGTATGCAGACAGGAGGACGGAGGACGGAGGACGGAGGACGGAGGAAGGAAGATGCGGAGGAGGCGTAGGAGGCGGTATGCAGGCAGGACGATAGGGGAGTCTGAGTAGGATGATGACGATGCTGCTGCTGACGATGATGCTGATGATGATGATGCTGATGCTGATGCTGCTGCTGCTGCTGATGCTGCTGATGATGGTGGTGATGCTGTTGCTGATGATGATGCTGATGCTGATGCTGATGATGATGCTGATGATGATGGTCCTGATGATGATGAGAGTGACGAGGAAGGGGAGAGGGAGAAGGAGCGTGCACGGGCTGGTTCATGGGGATGGTTGAGGGCATGTCGATCTTCAGCGTGTAGTTGATGCGAATGTGTCGTGTGCGGGCATGTGCGGCGGGGCGTTGGCGTTCGCGCAGCCCTGTGCATGCGGTTCCCTTTGAGGCTGTACGGCATGTGCGGGCATGTGCGGGTGGCGGTGTCGTCCGCGCTGCCCCGTGCAACCGTGCACAGGTGGGTTTGTATCGACTGCGCGGCGTGTGCGGCCAGGAAAACACAACGAGTGGACATTAGCCAGCCAGAAATGAGCACACTAGAATTGAGCTCTGCGTAAGGAAGTCTGTACAAGCACGATCAGGAGCTCTTGCTTAGCATCTCGCGCCGCTGGTTCTGGCCCACCACGCTTCGGCGCGACACGCTAACCACGCCCTACGTAGTTCTCAAGAGTCAACGGCCCGAGCTTTTCTCGGGGGCGTCAACGAGGGGGGTGATGACTGGGGGGGGCGGATATCATAGCGTGGGCCATGAGATGTCCTCAGATTTCATGGCGCCTCGTATTATTTCATTACGTCCCTGGCCCCCCCCCCGGGCCGCGCACATACCGCCGGCCATGATTTGCGCCCCCCCCCCTCTTGGACGCCCCCCTCTTGGCCCCCCCCCGATTTTCCCAGCCTCCCGCCCCGCGGAGCGGAGCAATACACGATCCACTTGCAGGGCGTAGCGTGTCGCAGGCGCCGCCGCGTGACGCCAAAGCAACAGTTCCTGGCCGTGTCCCTTTCCACTGCGGGAAGTGCCACCCTCGAATCACGATCGCCCAGTGGTGGTCTTGCCACTCACGCGAGATGCGATGTTGTAAAGAACGTGTGCTCCATCTCAGACAGCTGCAGAAACGCTACAAGGTAACATGATAAAGTTCATGGAGGTGTCCAGCGAAAGCGCCGTTCTGACAACAGATCTGCCCTCCGCCTGTATCGTTGTTCGACAACTCCGATGTCCTGGTCATGCACTTCGCGGACGTCTCGCGCGAGAGCTCCATTTGAGGAAAGAGCCGCCCTACATCAGTCTCTGAGCGTCGCACAATTCGGAACTTCGGATCATAGAATTTCAGGAAGTCTCAGGCGACAACCAAATTTTGGAAAAAGAGTCGCCATTCATCATCGTAGTGGCTTGACGCTTTGAAAGCGAATGATGCGTGCGACGCTAAGGCCAGAGTCGCATTTTGGAAATCACTCGATATGTCTGGGTTTATTTTAAGACGAGAGCTTGAGGTGCTAATTGAGGTGAGAGTCATCGCTGCCACTGTTGCAAGCGTATAAAACGAGTGGCCGCGGCAACTCGGCGAGAGACGCAGTTTGGGAACCACTGCTCGTCATCATTGCTACCTGTTGGGGTTCTCAGTTGCAGAGTCATCAACTGCAAGGAAGACTCCCGCGAAACGCCCTGCCCACGCTACGGACGCGTCTGGTGGTACAGCAGGGGAGCGTCATGTGTATTGTAAGGGAAGGGGTGGAGGAGGAATTGGGAAGTTTAGCTTCCGCCTTGGATCCGGACCCCCAGACGGACCCCCAAGTCCCCTGGGAATGGTTGTGGAGGCCCGAAGTGGTCCTCTCTGACGCACCCGAAAATCTTCCCCCTCGATCCTCGAGGGTCGAGGTCAAAACTTGCAGGAGGCCGAGATGACGATCTCGAGATTTTTGTACGGGGTCCCCAGACGCCTCGACTCTCGCTCCAGTGCCAGCTCTTCGTCCAGAGTCGTGCTTTCAAGGCTCTGGGGCCCAGCGAGGGCCCTCGGAGGCCCAAAATTGCGAACATGTGTTTTGCGATGCGCTCCGTGCGTTGGAGGCTTGGGGGAGCTCGCCCCCGCCCCTCCTCCCGCGCCCTCCAGGACCTCATCGCCGCGGCCTTCCTGTGCTGGGTGCAGCGGACCCTGCGCCTGCCCAACATGAAGATCGCCTCCCTCCTCCTGGCGAGCCGGCCCAGACTTCCCCTCGATAGGGGGGAGGGAGGGAGGGAGGCAGGAGGAGGGGGAGGTAGAGAAGGAGTCCAAGAGGACCCAGGAGGCTCCACGAATCGCCCCGAGACCGCCAAGGAGGCCTCCCAACTCACCCCAAGAGGCACCCAAGAGAGGCTCAGGGATGCTCAACCGAAGGGCCCCAAGACTGCCCAGCAGTCGCCCAAAAGTGCCCACGAGCGCAAACTCGAACTGACATTTCGAGCCCTCCGCCTCAAGAGAACCCCTCAGATCGCCAGCAGGGCCCCAAAGAGGTCCCGAAGAGCCCAAGGATTCTCCAAGAGGCTTCAAAATTCCTGCCAGAGGTTCCCGGGAAGTTTTTCAAGAGACCCCAAAAGCGCTCCAAGAAGCTTCTGACCCCAGGCACGGTAGCGGAATGGGCCGAAAAACAGTCGATATACATACGTGTGTGAGAGATCTTGTAGTCCCAAAGTAGCCCAAGAGAGCCCCCAGAGGTTACCATGGCGGTCCACTAATGTGCCAAAATGGTTCAAGAAGCGTCCAGGACCAGCCCGAGCTTCAACAGGGCCGCAAAAGGACGATCAGGCGTTGCCCAGACGGCGCAAGACGGCCCCGAGCTACTCCCTAGGCGCTCTGCAGGAGCATCGGGCGGCTGAAGAGGCGTCACCGACGGCCCAAGAGGCTCCAAAGCCGCCTCCAGATGGGCCCGAGAATGCCACCAAAACGGCTTCGCGAGGCCGACTTCTCAGATTTCCGCCAGGCGTTCGGAAGACTTGATGGTTCTCGATCTCGAGGGCCTCCGACGCCCAAAACTTGCCAAGGAGCTTTCAAGGTAGGTGCAAGACGGCTACGGAGAGCCCCAAGAGAGCCCCGTGAATGGCTGCCCAAAACGCCGCCAAGACAGCTCATTCGCCTCCGGCTGCGATAAGACAGTCGGCAAGGCGGCCAACAACGGCCCCAAGACATATTATAACAGGCGGCAGGGTCCCCGGGCCCAGTGGGGGCACTTTTTCAAAATTCTCCCCCTTCTCCCCCCCAGGCTGGTTCGTCACGGCATTCTTGTTCTGATTTCCATGATGTCAAGACGTTTCCAGACGCCCCAACCGCGCCCCGACATGCCCATCCAGTCGGCCTCACTGATGGACTTCGTAGTCATTGCCTTCTTTTGTATTTAATTTGTTCGTTAAGGACGCAGGTGCGCTCCCGCATCAAAGAGAAGGTGGAGTAAACGAATATTCGGTTGGGTGGGTTCGCAGCCATGGGGCATGAAGGCATCCTGTGTCTCTGTCTTCTTCCAGTGTGTCTGGGCTGAGTGGCGCCGCGTCCATTGGCTGTGACAGTCCCCGCGCCCATGGAGTTGTAAGTGAGCATTCTTTTATTATTTGTTTTTGCTTTCGGCGGAACGCCCCTCCCCCCCCCCTCCCCCCCCCCGTAGAGAAGTTCCGGGCTGATTTTGGCACCTGCTTCAATCGATCGGACGAACTACAGGGGCCGGCGCCCCCCCCCCCTCCCCCGGTAGAAACTCGAATCGCTGATGTGTGCAACTCTGCGCATTTTATCGTGCTACTCTTCTGGAACCACAACGAAAGGGCTCAGGGGCGCCAGACCCGATCGCCAGAAAGCATGCCTCCGGCTGGGCCCTCCCCTGTTATGCCAGCGACGGCCTCGTGGAATCATGAATAGGTGATCCCTAGCAATTCTGGCACAGGCTTGCCAAATCACGCATAGCCTTGGCGCAGCCCCGCGCAGCCGCTGCGCGATTCCCCCATGGGGGGTCTCCCCTAGGATTCCCTCATCGGCATCTCCCACAGGATTCCCCACATGATTCAATCGGAGGCATTGACTACGGGCCGAGAGCCGGACCCCCCCCCCCTCCCCCCCATGCGCCTAAAGCCGGAACCCAGAATAAAAAAATGCTCACTAACGGCATCCTGTCCAATATGTTCATATTTTCTCTGCTAGGGGGAATAGTGTCCACTCTCCCCGCTCAGATTCATCTTGGCTGTGTGGGACCACAGCCATGGGCTGTGAAGCAACCTGCGTCTCCTTCGTTTCGCAATGCGTCTGCGATGGGTAGCGCCGCAGCCAACAGGAACTTCCAGGCGGCCCCCAAACCTGCCGGGATTCCCCGACGATGGTTCGAGTTTGACTGTTCGAGAGAAGTCGGTAGGCCTATCTCGCCCAAGACTGCCCTGGCATCCCCCAAAGCCAGCTTAGATGCCCCCTATGACGCCTGCGGCGGGGCTTGGTGCACGCAGCAGGGAGGGAAGGAGGGCTTCGATGGCAGGGCAGGCGGGAGGGAGGATCGACAAAAACAAGCGAGAAGATGAGAGAAGGAAAAAGGACATGACAAGGAATGGGAGGACTTGGAGGGAGAAGGATGCAGGATTCTGGGCGTTCGGGGTTCCTCGCATGGCATCTGTGGTGGCTCGGAGGGGAGACACCGTCAGCACATTGCTCGAAGACCAGGTGTTGTTCACGATTCCCATGCTGTGAACTCTAGACCATGGCCACGGCTTGCTAGAACCTGAGCGCGCGAAACGCGCGTGGTTCAAACACACACACACACACACACGTGTCGATGTATAGTATACACATGAATATGTTCACAAGTATAGAAACTGCATGTACATATCCCTCGACCGCTCTATTTCACAACAGTTCTCTCTGCCTCTCTCTCTCTCTCTCTCTTTCCCTCCCTCTCTCTCACAGTCTCTCTACTTGTCATTCCCTCGCTCTCTCACCCATACCGCCCGCTTGATACATCGCAAGCCACTTGGGCTCGATCATGTTTCATTGTGTTTTCCTCGGCACCCGAGCCGCGGCGCCGCCTGTAGAGGTCGCTTGAGGGGCAACTCACCAGCAGCAGACCGCCCGAAGCTGGCTGCCGCTTGGGTTGGCGACGGCAGCAGGAATTCAGCGCCAGTTGCGCCATGCCTCCCCATGGGTCAGTTGGTAAGGCTTGTGGGCAAACAGGCTACAACGATATTATGGCGAGCAGGGGCGTGACATGCAGGTGCGTTCTTTCTCTGTGCTCACCATTCGATGCGTGAGCTCTCGGAACCATGCGTTAAGACATTTGTTCCCTATCAAGTCCGCTATTTGTCGCGACTTGAGCAGGGGCTCTGGCCGAAGCCACTCAGCAAAGGTGAGAAAGTGCTTCGGAGTCGTATATCACCCCTTTGACCACTACGTGGTATATCCTGTTCCTGTTCCTGTTCGCCCGCTCCGTGTGTGTATATATATATGTGTGTGTACCGATGTAGGTGATTACCGCTCGCTCTTGATGTTATCTCTTTCTATGTAGATGTAGATATCGGTAATTCCCATCTTATGCCTGATGCTATGTATGCATGCAGGTGTGAACCTCATCATGTACATATATATATATATATATATGTACGTTCGTACATCTGTTACATCTGTCGGGACACATTCCTACTTTCATGTACGTATGTCATTATACATATATATACGTTTCGCTGCTCGCATATACATATATACACATGTATATGCATACGGATTCGTTAGGTGTGTTGTTGGTTCTCTCTCTCTCTCTCTCTCTCTCTCGCTCTATACATAGGTCTTGCTATCTAATTATGGATATTGCTATCGTTTCATCTCTCCCGTGCTCTGTCCTTCTTTCTCTCTCCATCTCTATGTTTCCGTGTTGTTTGTCCCTCTATGCCTGTCTCCTTTTCTCGGCCTCGCCCGCCGCCCCCCCCCATTGCAGACGCCGCCAGTCGCCTCAATTCCTCCCTCCTCGTGGCAGGGCCACGGCCTCTGCGACCTGATGCTCTGAGCCACGGTCTGCTGCGGCTCACCCTCCATGTTTTCTCGGACCTGCCTCTTTGGAGGCAAGCCGGGCCCTTGGCCAGTGTCCTTCCTCCTTCCCCTCCAAACCTCCTCCTCCTCCTCCTCCTCCTCCTCCTCCTCCTCCTCCTCCTCCTCCTCCTCCTCCTCCTCCTCCCCTCCCCTCCTCCTCCTCCCTCTCCTCCTCCTCCTCCTCCCTCTCCTCCTCCTCCTCCTCCTCCCTCCCCTCCATTGTCCCTCCTCCGTTGTCTTCCTAGCCATCCCCCTCCAGACCGCATCCTCTTCGACGGCCCCGTGCCGAAAAAGGCCAGCTCGATCTGAGCACGGCTCCGTCGGCCGCTCGTGCTCTGGAGCGCGCCAAAAATCTGCACCCACGCTCCTCCTCCTCCTCCTCCTCCTCCTCCTCCTCCTCCTCCTCGTCCTCTTTCTTTTTCTTGTCTTCCCCGGGCCAGGCGCTGGGCGAACGCCGGCGCCCGCGGCGTCGGGACGCCCGCGCGCGCGCGGGCAGCAGCGCACGGGCCAGGGCAGAGCTCGGAGACGCAGCGGGGTGTGGGACACCCGCCTCCGCCTCCTCTTCTCCTCGCCTCGTCCCGGGGCTCAAGAGAGGCGGTGGGGTCCCCGAAGCTCCATGGCCTGGGTGCCCCGTGGCCGCCCCGAACCCCGCGTGTCGGCGGGCCCGTGATGGGCCTGCCGTCGACGAGAGTCGTCCGTCTCGGCTCCTCACTCGTCGGGGCTTTCGCCTCGCCTGATCAGCGGCCGGGGCCGCACACCTGGGGCTCTTCTCCGGTTTCTGCCTGGCGTGCCTGCGACCAGATGCTTGCACGCTCCAATTGCTGCGCCCTCCGCCCCCGGGAGGTGATGATGTTCTTCTTCGACATATTCTGGGTCTTCATCTCCCCGCTCATCTTCCAGGAGAGCGTCATGATACGCGTGGCGAGAGGCCTGGCTTGGGCGGCTCCGCGCGCTTCTCTCCTCGACCGGCCCGCGCGGCCCTGCCCCGCCGAGCTGTGCTTCAGGAGCAGCGTCGTCGTCGAGTCGTCCACGACCACGGCCACGACCACGACGGCCACGGCCGCGGCCACGACCACGACCACGACCAC